ATATATATATATATATATATTATAGTTTTAACTATATGGCAGTGTGGGTTAATACCATACTGAGCAATGTTATCAGAGAAAGCTTTGTGCTTCTTACACCAGAACTGCATAAGGAAGATGTCTTGATTGAGCAGATTCCATTTCCAATCTAGTTTTCTTTGTGAGGATTGTAAGCTTTTGTAACGCTGTGGTAAAGACTGACATTTGTTCAACCGAGAGCTTGAGTCGGAAAACCTATCCCCTGCCAGCTGCTGCAGACCCTTGCTCTCTGTAGGGAAGCAGTGGTCTCTCTGCAGGGGTCTTGCACGCCCCCTGCTGAGCCAGAGCTGTCCAATCAGCAAAGCACATGCTGACTGGAAAGCTATAGTCTGACTCGGAATCAGGCATGTTGGCCCCCTGCAGAAAGACCCCACAGAGCAAGGGTCCCATTCAGCGGCTGGCAGGGAAAATGCTTTTCTTCTCAGGCTGTGGCTGATTTGTAGAGAAAACGGACTGTAAGACATTAGAACACTTTTTTTGTTTTTGTTCTGATGCACCTAGAATGTATTTAACTGGTTTAAACTGAAAATTCAATTGGACATTAAACTTCTATTGCTCAAATGAAAGATCAATATAAATCCATAAAAGAATGTCTGTCCCTATGTATGTAGGAAGGATACGGCATTGGGGATGATGAGTATTCCTGTGCGTACGACGGCTGCAGGCAGCTGATCTGGTACAACGCAAAAAGTAAACCTCACCAACACCCCTGCTGGAAAGAAGGTAAGACCTGTCTATTATATGGCTTGCACCATGACACGAGAACCCAGCGGAATACTGCTGTCTAGATAAAGCCAATCCCACAGACACTCTGACAAATTGTGTAGAAACATGCTACATACAGGTTACTGATGTTGCATGCTTCTTTTGTCCTTTGAGGTCATGCAACTCCTATAAGCACTAAAGAAAACAAATTGGTGGAATTTATCAGAACTGGAGCAGACAGAATCTGGAGCAGCTGTGCATGGCAACCAATAAGCAAGTCTCTTTCATTTTCTAAGCTTAACTGAAGAGAGAATGGTTACTATGGGCAACTTCCCCCAGTGTTGTAACCTGGGGTTTCCAGGGTGCCGACATCCACAGATTTACAAGTCTTCCTGATGAGCACCTGATGAGCTTACATTCAGGAATTTACCACTACCATATGTGGTGACGGGTATACTTTAAGGTGACACTCAATTTTTGTTGAGAAAAAAACAAAAATAATCCCGTCTGGGTGATCTATGTACAGCGCAAGGATTTTAATAAACATTGTTGCAGATTCCTCCTGTTTCTGTTCTGAAGAGATAGATGTTTGTTTCACTATGTCCTCTCCAGACAGATCCTGAATGGGGGGGGGATAGTCGGCTTTCATTCTAACCACCTGGTACACTTTCAGTGTTCTAAGGCCCCATTCACACAAGGACTTTGCTGTATTTGTGGATTTGTGGCAAGAACCTACAGTTTCTTGTGGCAGGAATCCCAGGTGTCCCCATTCAGATGCACCCGCTGCGGCCATTGAAGTTATTGACGGGGCGACAACGGCCACATCTTTCAGCGGTAGTCCACATGCAGTCATACATGGTATAGTTACATGCGATTTGGGATAGATGATTGTCTCTGGGTGTAGGATAGGTGTGTCCAGCATCAACCACCAATCGGATCAAAAAAAAACAATTGAATAGATTAAGGCAACCCAACAGTTTAAAATGGTTCAGGCTCATAATACTCTGGTGGTGCGAGGTCTTCTTCATCCGGTCAGTATTGCAATTGAAAACTGGGTAACATTTCTGAGACTCGCCATGTGTTTTGTGGCCAACGGAACTTTTCACTAGCAACAGTGAACACTGTGTGCCAACATGTTTGTCTATAGCTTGGGCAGCCTATGATACTGGCAGGAGTCCCGCGGCAAGAAGCAAGGCAGTCCGAGGTATCACATTGGAAGGTCAAGATGCTTAACCCCTTCGTGACTGACGACGTCATCGGGGCTGTTTAAACAGACTCCCGGCGACTTTTGCCGCCGGGAGTCTGTTTAAACTTGTAGAGCCGACTGTCGGCTTTACAACAGAAGCGATCCTGGCGACTTACCTGTCGCCAGATCGCTTCTGCGTCCCGAAGAAGGGGCCGCCCCCCCCCCCCGGACACCCCCGCCGTGCTCCGTTGCCCCTCCTACGGGCCCGTGACCGGCGATCTTTGTGTCCGCGGGGAGCTGGGGAGGAGGTCGACGAACTTCCGTTCATCGATCCCCTCCCCGTTCTATGGGACCGGGAGCGATGCAGATTGCATCACTTCCGGTCCCTGGGCTGTCAGTTCTGGGCTCCTGCAGCCCAGCTATAAGCTATTGAAGTGCGATCTGCACTTCAATAGCTTATTTCCAGTGTAAAGGTGACACTGAGGGTCTTTTGGACCCCCAGCATCACCTTAAAGAGGACCTGTCACCACCATCTGCTATTACATGGGGGGGCTTGCAAGCCCCCCCATGTGATAGCAGTCAAAGTAAAGTAAAAAAAAAAAAAAAAAATATTTAAATTAAATTTAAATAAAATAAATCTAATAATAATAAAAAAAATTTTAAAGTCCTCCGCCCCCGCGAGCACGCGCGTCGCCACGTAAACACGCGTCGGGTGCGCCTACGCATGAAAACGACGAACGCGCTACACATGTTGGGTATCGCCGCGCACGCCGGAGTGAGAGCAATAATTCTAGGGCCAGTATTTTGGGGTATCTCTAAATTGATGACCTGTGGGGGCTTTTAAAGCGTCTTTTATTGACTTTTTGGGGTACTGCAGTTTTTCGCCGTTTCACGGTCGCACGCAATCTGTAAACTGGGCATGTTGGGTATCGTTTTACTCGTTGTAACCTCATCTTTTATATTTCATTAAAAAAATGGGTAATTTGTTGTGTTTTGGGGCATTTAATTAAATTTGTCACTAAATTTTGGGGTTTAATAAGGAGTTGCGCTAATATTGCGCAACATAAAAATTTTCAACTACCACCATTTTATTCTATAGGGTCTTGGCATTCAGAAAATATATAATGTTGGGGGGGTTTACGTCATTTTCAGGCCTAAAATGTGGAATATAACATGGGTGCAAATGAAAAAAGGGCCTCAGTCATGAAGGGGTTAATGTGACGCTGTCACTTGTATAATACATCTCCAGCAGCTGCCTCCTGCGAATAATACGCTCTACACTTACCAGTCTGGCAGGTGGCGAGGGAAGTCTCCATTCACTTGTAGAGCTGTGGGTGCTGCTGCCATCTGACCCTTCTGGGTGTTTGGCCAGAATGTGCCTCGCTGGTCTCTATAGGACCTCCCTTCAGCCGCTGCATTAGAACACAGTAGTGACATAGGGGCCAGCTTGAGGAGCTCTTTGTCCAGCGGGGACACGCTACCCAACACTCCGTGGAAGTGTCAAATAAAAGCAATACCTGGAGCTTTGCAAGAGCAAGCAAATGTCACTTGCCACCCACTAGACTGGTAAGTATTCAGCTTACCGTATTCTTTTTAGAGGGGGCAACTGCTGGAGACAATGTATACAAGTGACAGGGTTGCTCTAATGCAGTGGTTCTCAACCTTTCTAGGGCTGGGACCCCTTGGTAACATTTGCCAAGTTGTGGTGACCCCCAATGGTAAAATTTAGGGGTGCACCAATACTAGTATCTGAGTGGGCTCTCGGGTAGCTAGTGGCACTCTCCTCACTCCTGCCCAATTCCCTCTCTCAGATCCCCTCCGGCCGCAGCTGCTGCAGCACCATCTAGGATAACTGACACTGCTGCACTAGGAGGAGGCTGAGGAGTCTCTTACCTAGCACAGCACAAGGCACATGGCGACCCCCTCAACTGTGGCTTGCGACCCACTTTTGGGTCGCGACCCACAGGTTGAGAACCACAGCTCTAATGCCTTTTTGGGAAGGTTTCTCTTTACTGCTGATTGTTTCCAGGGCATAAAAGGAAATTACTCAATGGGGACTAAAGCTAGTCATACACAGCTAGAGCCCACGGGGCTGAATGAGAAAAATCACTCGATTCCTCCGTCCACACTGTATCTACCCTGCTGGCTGTTGTATTCTGACATCCTGTGTCTGAATGGATGCAGTCACTGCTTAGCTGGCAATTTTCCACCTTGCTCCTTCAGTTTTGTCATTCAAGCTCGTCAGACTGGGTGGTACCGACAGGGGCCACCCACAGCTTGGCTTTTGGTCCCTTGAACAGGAATCAGCCAAAATTTGAGCAGGGTATGGATAGCATAAGACGGTAATACAAGAGGTTTTATTAGTAGAGTGGGGAAGGATCAGAACCTCTGTTAGGTTTTCCTGGTCGTCTGTGTCCCTGTTTAAATGTCTTTTACTTTGTATTATGTCACCAGGACAGGAAGTGAAGGGAAATTTGCCCAATGGGGACATGAACATCATTGAAAAACCCAGCAGAGGTTCAGACCCCTCCCAACCCTATACAAAATGTAACAAAAAAGCTGGAGTTGTACTTAATTCTTTTTGAGTGTACAAAGTCATTCACTCCCTTGACAATGTGGTAAGTGAGTGGACCACAGCAGTGGCGCAAAGGCTGACTGTACGCTATACAATCGGATTGTACAATCTCCTTTTAGATCTACCAGCAATTATGTAGTGTGAGAGCTGACTGACTGATAGGATACATAAGGTCCTCATATTAAAGAGTTTTGATGAACCTAAAGTTGATTGTATAGAGATTGTATGGTCACATTGTAACGAGTCTGGCGACCCAGTGAGCAATCATAGCAGAGGGAAACTAGGCAGGAGGGGTTCGGTCATGGGGTAAGGGGATCACCGTTATATTGGAATAGAAGCCACTTTTCAGGTAGGTGTTGTATAATCACCACTTTGGGATGTTTGTTCTCTTCCAGGTGACACGGTCGGCTTTTTATTGGACCTACACAAAAAGTTAATGATCTTTTCGCTGAACGGAAATCAGCTTCCTCCCGAGAAGCAAGTCTTTTCTTCCGCAACGTAAGTCCTAAACTTGTGTTGTTGCGTCCCTCCCTGTGTGTTGTCAGAATGCGTTCCTTTCATCAATGCGGGTTGATGTTTTTGTAGGTCTGGATTTTTTGCTGCAGCCAGTTTCATGTCCTATCAGCAGTGCGAGTTCAACTTCGGAGCCAAACCCTTCAAGTATCCACCGGCAAACAAATGTAGCACTTTTAATGAGTACGCTGTTCTTGCCCCGGAAGAAAAGGTCATATTGCCAAGGTAAAAGTTTTACACATTCGTTTTCTAAAAGGGAAAAAAAATAAATGATTACACCTAATAATGACTTCTTTTATATTATTTATTTACACTTTTATATTTATTAGTAAAGCAATTATTGCTTTTAATGTATGAATGTACTGTATTTTTTTTCTTTAATGCGGCTAGTGTATGTACTGTACACTCCAGTAATCCTCTGCACAGCAGCATTCAGACAGAGAGGGAGGCAAAAACGACTTTGCTTTGTGTGATGAGAGAACAAACATGCTGACGGGAGGAGAGAACAGTGTAAGCAGAGGGGTGATTTACCCTCACCCCCTTCCCCCATCAACCGCCTCCCCCACTCTGCAGCCTTTGTACATCCGTATACCGTACACAGCAGTGCAACCCAGTACTCTGTATATAGAATAATGCTCGCAAATGGAGAGCACTCATTGGTCAGCGTGGTCATCTCATCTAGCCAATGAGTGCTCGTCATTTGCAAGCATTAATTCAAAGTACTGGGCTGCAGTGTTGTGTCCAGAAGATAGACCAGGGTTTCTCAGCCAGGATTCTGCAAGACTTCTCTAAATCCGACCAAAACTGGCTTCACTACTCTCACTTTATCTAGTGCTATTCTACTACTGCCGGGCAGATTGCTATCAGGACAATGGAAACACTTTGCATGATGCCACCGGAGAGCAGAAAATATACACATAGGCCCATAATTGCAACTCTGGTGATGTTACGCCAAGAGTGCCCGTCGCCCTGACGACCAATCACTGCTTGGAGTCCCGACTCATGTGCACTACGCTCCAAGCCTGGTCAACCTGTGTGGTCCCTGGAGCATGCGAAGTGGGAACCCCTCCCTTGTCTGGACCTGGGCAGAGGAGAACAGTGCAGGAGGTGAGAGAGTGTGGGCAAGGCACAGCCACGTAGGTAAGAGGCCTGAGTCCTGGGGAAGGGATGCTGGAGAAAAAGGGGGGATTGGCAGAGACCTGCATGGGTGCTCCATTATGCAGTTTGGCTCTGGCCCCCACCCCCATGCTCGTCTACTACACGTTACACAAGTTTTTTTTTCCCTGAACACTAACACAAAGTTGGAGATTTGCAATGAGCACCAATCATATTCAGCGCTTGTTGTGACTCAGTCATTGAAATATTTAGTATGCAATTCTTTTATATTTGACTAGTGTTTGTTATATCATATTATTTATTATTATATCTACAGCCTACTGAGCACGCTAATATACTGCGAGCTGTAGATGAGAAAATGATTTCAGGGGTTCCTCGAGATCTTAAAATGTATTCAAGGATAAGACGGTTGAGAGGCTGCACAAGACATATACTTTCATACATACTTTGTTACATTTTCTTCTTTTTGTTTCAGATTATTTTTGTGTCTTTACTGTATCACGTTTGTGTCTACAAAGCCATTTTATTTATCTTCCCAATTTTGTTGTGCAAAATATAAGACCATTTGGGCAAACATACAACAAATAGAAAGCAATCATCTATTTTGTGTTCTGTTTCTACAGACATAGACGCTTAGCGTTGCTAAAACAAGTCAGCATCCGAGACAACTGCTGTACTCTATGCTGTGATGAGGTAGCAGACACAGAGTTGAAGCCTTGCGGGCACAGGTGAGTCAATGCTGGGTGTCCCATTTTGTCTGCTATACAAGTACACTATATGGCCAAATGTTTGTGGATATCTCCTTGTTGGGCATCCTGTTCCAAAACCATGGGCATTATTATGGAGTTACCTTTGTTGCCATAACAGCCTCCACTCTCCTGGGCACCCTTTTGGGGTGTTTGTGGGAATTTGTGCTAATTTAACCAAAAGACAAGTTATGAGGACAAGTTTTCATGTTGGGCGAGAAGACCGGGCTCACAATCGCCACTCCAGTTCTTCCCATTAGTGTTGAGAAGGGTTGAAGTCAGGGACCTGTGGAGGCCACTTGAGTTCCTCCACACCAAACTCATCAATATCAATATTGACATTGATGATATATCAATGTATAGGCCTGGTTTTGTGCACTTCAATAATTTGGAAGGGTGCCCACATTCTGCAAAATCCATGCTGCCTGTCACTGGAAAGAAGGGATTGCCTTTTTTTGGTTGTGTTTCTTCCTCTGCTGGTCTCTGCTGGATGTGTATAGCAAGTAAAGATCAGTAACTGTTACTGCATCTGTGTGTCGTCACATGTGTTTTTAGCAGCTTTAGGATCTTCTTGCCAGTGGGAAGAGGTCTCATGGGGTAGATCTGAGTGGTAGCAGCCAGGGAATTTTCCAAGGCTGCAGATAATAAATATAAATGATGTGCCCTCGGAAGCTCAGCATGTTAGCTGTGTGCATATCTCCTCTTGGTAAGCCGGCTGATTGCGACACTGCAGCTATTATCTCCATAGACATCCCTGTGGTCTGTTTTTTTTTTCTTTATTGTAAGTTGTTGAAGGCTTGGACTGTAGACCATTTATGATCATGATCTCAGTTCTACTTTATTGATGTGTGTCCTGTTCAGATGTGAGCTGGTAGAAACCAGATTTGGGAGCATATTCCTGATAGCAGAGGTGGCCACCCATAGCCTCATCTGATAATAATCAGGTTACTACACCTCTAAGGCTGGGCATACACCTTACAACCATCGCAAGACTTCTGTCTTGCGATGGTTGTAAGGTACTTAAAAAAACGTACGATCTGCCTATGCAAGATAGGCAGATCGTACGTTTTTTTAAGTACCTTACAACCATCGCAAGACAGAAGTCTTGCGATGGTTGTAAGGTACTTAAAAAAACGTACGATCTGCCTATGCAAGATAGGCAGATCGTACGTTTTTTTAAGTACCTTACAACCATCGCAAGACAGAAGTCTTGCGATGGTTGTAAGGTACTTAAAAAAACGTACGATCTGCCTATGCAAGATAGGCAGATCGTACGTTTTTTTAAGTACCTTACAACCATCGCAAGACAGAAGTCTTGCGATGGTTGTAAGGTACTTAAAAAAACGTACGATCTGCCTATGCAAGATAGGCAGATCGTACTTGCGATGATCGCAAGCCACGCCCCCTGAGGGGCGGGCTTCCGATGACCGCAATGCTGAACGGGCAGTGTGCGCTTGCGCACACCGGCCCGCACGGCTTTTATTGTACGAACATGCCACAAACCCGTCGAACATCGTACGATGCTCAGTGGGTTTTCGAACATGTCCGTACAGTAGTAGAGGTCGCACGGCTTCCACACACCTTACGATAATCGTACGATCGCGGGGACCTTAATTCTCAAAAACATTGTTCCCATTGTTCTAGTCTGCTGGAAAGCTTTCTGTGATGGGCCCCAGTCTTTCCCTTTGCTATATAATAAAATGGAAACCTCTTTGCGATGGGGGGCCACTCTTTCCCTTGGCTATACAAGGAAATATCTCTGTGATGGACCCCACTCTTTCCCTTTACTTTGAAGAAAATGGAAATATCTGTGTGATGGGCCCCAGTCTTTCTCTTTGCTATAGAATAAAAGGGAAATCTCTCTATAGCAAAGGGAAAGAGTGGCCCCCATCATAGAGAGATTTCCTTTTATTCTATAGCAAAGGGAAAGACTGGGGCCCATCACACAGATATTTCCCTTTATAGCAAAGGGAAAGAGTGGCCCCCATCATAAAGGGAAATATCTGTGTGATGGGCCCCAGTCTTTCCCTTTGCTATAGAATAAAAGGAAATCTCTCTATGATGGGGGCCACTCTTTTCCTTTGCTATCAACGGAAATATTTGTGTGGTGGGCCCCAGTCTTTCCCTTTCCAATAGAGTAAAAGGCAACTCTGTGTGATGGGCTCCACTCTTTCTCGTTGCTATAGATCACATGTGTCAAACTCAAGGCCCAGGGGCCGAATCCGGCACACCAGGCCATTTCCTAGACTTCTACTTTCAGATCTAGGTATTAAGTTATTACTAAAACCAGTGATAATCGAATGCAGAGGCAATTATGATAAAGATTAGATACATTTATATAGTCTTACAGATACCTTTTTGAGGGCAACCACAATGTTGATGCGGCCCAAGATTAAATTGAGTTTGACACCCCTGCGTGTAAAGGGAAATCTCTGTGTGATGGGCTCTGCCCTTTCCCATTGCTCATGATAAAGGGAAATCTCTGTGTGATGGGCTCCACTCTGTCCTTTTGTTATAGAGAAAAGTCATATCACAGTGTGTTGGGCCCCATGCTTTAATTTTTCTGTAGCCAAAAGTGAAGGAAGTATGTATAACATGTGTGTTGCATGGACCCAGCAGCCAGACAAGACAAGCCATCACTCCAGGTTTAAGACTGATATACCTTTTGGTGGACAACTTCCTGTATTTGGGTAGCCATAGAACCACGGTTATCCTGCTCAGAGTAGGGCAGGCACAGATGATGGTCCACCAGTAATGTTTGAGGTTTGGTGGACATAGTACTAACTCATTTATTCTGCTTGTCTCCGCAGTGATCTTTGCATGGAATGCGCTCTACAGCTGGAGACCTGTCCACTCTGCCGACAGGAGATCAAAACTCGAGTCCGTCAGATTTCTCACATCTCATGACAGCTGTGGAATACACACACCGGGAGGTTTTCGTGGCTATTTTATGAGACCCCGTTTACAAATGAAATCTTGCATATGTTCTGCTTCACCTGATGGAAATGGCCATATTTTGCAGGAGCGGTTGGACAAGAAGCAGCCCTGTCTGCCATCTTGGAGGTTTTTGGAAAGCCATGGAAGTAGACGCACCGCTTACATTTGACCTGTATCGGTTTTCACGTGAAGGACACCGATTGTCCCTTAGGGTACTTGTAGCTTAGGGGCATTGTTTCCTCTATGTCCCACCCCCATTTTTTGGCAGTAACTCCACCCAGTTTCAGGAAGCCCCACCCAGTGCGGGCTCAATCGCAGTACATATACTTTTCCTCAAGACATCTAAAATGTTACTTTGGCACTGTTTTTCCTCCTTTCATTTCTGGAAAAAGGGGTTTGCACTATAGTAATGCATCAATGTATTTGCAAAAACTGTAACTTATTGTACAATACTGCAAAGTGTCTATTTTTGCCAGACAAAATACAGTATATGACCAATGTTTTCTATTCACGTGGCATTCTGCTGGTCAGTAGTTTTCCTTTAAAAACTGTGGACTGCAGGATAAATTGTGATACGTAAATCAACCTCTAGGGCCTAATTTATATTATTTCCAAAGAACATTTGGTTAAACGACAATATTAATGCAATATACAGGTTTTTGTAATGTGTGTGTACAGAACTGGAAAGTCTTTCTTTTTTCCACTATTTATGATTTGATATAAGCAGGTCTGCCTCTAATGATTGGATCCAGTCTAGGAGTAATGAACAACCTTCGAGGGGGAAACTGTGACACTGTCTTCAATCTATAGGTGTGATGTTTGTTTGATGGTACAGGGTGGCCCTTGATCACTTCCATGTGCACATGCAGCACTGGTGTTGACTATACAGTTCAGTGGACAACAAATGCATAGCAGAGGTGTATTGCACTGCTGTGCCAAGCTGTGTTCACCATACAGGTGATGGACACTTATTCAGCACATGCTATCCCTTGTTGGAGCTCTGGAGTATAGTATCTGGTGTATTCAGGTTCATGCGGTCCTGTAGGTGTCCAGAACATGGTGCATCATGTGTTTGGTTCCTTACATGGTATAGTCGTAATATAAAGAATGGCAATGCAGCTGTCAAAATGACCAGGGGGTCCTTACCGAGACAACAGCATCGGTATCTTAAGAACGTGGGGATTAGGTATCCAATGTTGGCAAAAATCAGTTGCCATTAACATTGTAGGTGCTGAATAGAGTCCTGCAGTTTGCACCGTGTTGTGTGTCAGGCATGCCTGTATTGTATGCACTTGCAGGCCCACTGCAAGGGTTAAGTACTCATTTTGGTCTAGGGGCTGGAAAAAAGCAAATTTACTTAGCTGATGCTGGCTTCCTCTGGGTTGCTAGACTGGTACCTGCAACTTTTTCCCTGGGCTCTGGCAGTCTAAGGACCCCTGATGTCATTGCATCTTATGCAGGTTCCATTGACCTGTATGAGACGCAAGTACACTGAGGGACATTCCATAGCTGAGAGAGGTGAGGTCAGCTGACTGCTGAGGAAGCCAGGATCAGGTAAGTAGAACAGTTTTATTCCAGCCCAGTGTGAGGGTAGCCCCCACTGCAAGAGTTCATTTCCCCGGTGTTCTTTAAAAGATAACCAAAGCCAAACCTTTTTTTGGCTTTAGTCTTCTTTTGGGTCAATGGAGTACGTTTAGTAATGTCCTCCTATGACCCAAAGTCAGTGTATATAGCAGGCTACTGCCCACTATATGCCGACAGCGCAGAGCTGCACTGCAGCTGAGAAGGATCCTGACAGCTGGCTCTCTAGAACCAGCTGTGCCTGCCCCTGTCTGTCCCTGCAGTGAGAACTGGTGGAACAGAGAGGAATCCCTGGAGGGAGCAATGACTGACGGTCGCCACTCTCTGCAGGGAAAAGACTGAGCTGAGTGATCAACGGTTACTTGATCGCTGAACACTCAATCCCCATGAGCTGCAATGTAAGGCTCTAAGTATTGGGAAGGGTACATCTTACTCTCCCAATACTTCTCCTTTTAAGCATTGTTCAGTCACGTGCGAGGACAATGAAAAACTAGTATTATCTCTAGCAGTATAAAGTAAAGTCTCTACGTATTTCGGAAATGAACCCCATAATTTGGGAGGTTGCAGATCCTTGTCTCCGGGTACATGAAAGGTCAAATGATTGGATTTATTCATGTGAACAGGTCCTTTTTATTTTACAGTATATCATGTTTTAGACAAACGTTTATCCTACATGCTGCAAATTGTTGGACACCTAACGCCCCTCCATTGTGTGGGGTCAAGGTCTTTGAATTATCAGGACGATGTGGATCTTCATTTTCCACGATGTCTCGGAGAAGGGGGGGGGAAGATAGTTTCTTGACAAACGTGTTCATTTTTGAACTACTGATGAACACCATTTCTATAAATGAATGTGCTGTAAATTGAACACGCTCAGAATTGAATAATGTTGTAAACAAGTACACATTGGACTTTAAGTTCTGATCTGTTAACATAAGTGGAAGAATGTCAAGTAAAGAATTTTCCAAGCCAAGGTTTGTAAGAATTGTCCGTAAATATTCCTGGAACAAGCATGGTATGCAGTTTTTTTTTGCTTATAGATTGTCCCAAATGTAAAATCCTGACACTTTTTCAGGGACAATGTCCGTTAATCACAAGGTTAGGACCTTGGAATGCAGACTTCTAATAATGTGAATGTCTGATAAGGGGCGTCAAGCCAAGGAATATACCCTTCTGCTGATGTTCAACATCTATATTTAAACAAAAAACTCAGTTGCCACAAATATTAAAAGCGGGTGATTTACTAAACCATGGGTAGCAAACCTCCGGCCCTCCAGCTGTGGTGAAACTACAAATCCCATGATGCAGCTCTCTTCGGGAGTCATGTCTGTGGCTTGCAATGCCTCATGGGATTTGTAGTTCCACCACAGCTGGAGGGCCGGAGGTTTGCTAGCCCTGTACTAAAGCATTTGCGACTTTCTTCTGGTATTATGGCCGTATTAGAAAGTCCTGTGCCAAATTCATGAAAGTCGTGCAACGGTTTTATTGCTATTCCTGATGTGGGCAACAAATTCAGGTAGTTCCTGTGTGTGACGACTTTACATACCGGCACTGTGGCTGCAACGAATTCATTAAGCTGCCTTCTTCTTTACTTGCATATGCACCATAGCTCACACTGGTGCCTCCTGGATACCTAGAGGCTTCAGGGTGCTCTATGACGCATGCATCATTGCAAATCTGCAGGAGGCTGGCCGGGCTCTTGCGGAGCTGGCCCCTGATGATGTGCATGTGCCATAGTGATGATGTGCATGTGCCATAGTGTATCATCAGGGGGCCGGCTGCAAGAGACAGCCAGCCTCCTGATGATTTGCAATGATGCATGCGTCATAGAGCACCCTGAAGCCTCTAGGTATCCAGGAGGCAGCCGTGTGGCACATGTGCTGCTGCGTGGGCAAATGGAACGCAATTCTCACCTAGGGCTGTGAGGGCTAAAAGGATTTGTGAAACAAAAAGTAAGGGCAATTGTAATATTCAATTTTGAGGGGAGTTGGGTATAGGTCTAACACCAAATGCCACAGACAGACAAAAAAAAACAGCTTATAAGACTGCACCAGGTCACTTCACGTGTTGGTGTGGCTGCACAAACAATTTACATACAAAATACATAGCCTAGTGCAAGAACAGAGAACATACACTGTACAACAAACGGTAACATTGACTCCCCATCATATTACAGATTTCTCAAGGACTCCCGTCATTCTGTAGCCAGCCAAAGCCTGAGCGATTTGTGCTCAATCAAATGTATTGTGCTAACGTGCATTAGCATGTTCAGTGACAATAAATTCAATGTTAAATCTTAAAAATGCAACTGGAGCAGATTTGCACTGCAGCCAATCAGCGTCTCTGTCTCATTTTTGAATCTTATGTGAGCAAACTGAAGAGAGATGCTGATTGGTTGCCATCAGCAGCTCCAGATTCTGATAAATTCCCCTCCCCCCCTGCATCTTATTTGTGTATCACTGAGCTATAAATCCTCAAATAATCACGGCTGACACGGTCCTGCCTTCTGGAGTGTGAGTGTGAGAGAGATCCCTGCTCCAAGCTCACTCCCAGGACTACAATCTCAGTACAAATTAGTAAACTAAACATGAGATTGAAGTACATCACGGGAGCGAGCTTGGAGCGGTGTCTACTTTACAACACACACAGGGACCATGGGGAACAATAGTAGCCCCCCTCCAGAAGGAAGGACAGTGTCAGCACCAATTCAGAGATGATTTGAGGATCTACAGCCGAGTGATACACAAATATGGTACATTTTTGTTCACAGAAGTTAAATCTTAAACATGCATTCAGGTACTTTGAGTTTAGTGTCACTTTAAATGCCTTTGTTTTGAATGGTACCCCAATAGCCCTCTGATGTACATGCAGTGCACTACGGTATGTTGTGGTCTGCTGGTCACCATTTTTTCCATCAGTCCTGGCGCTTTGGCAGCTTCTTTGAATAGGCTGCCTTATGGCAACACACAGTTTAATGGGGAGTCATAGTTCTATTTTACTGTAAAACTGTATAAAAATAGAACATAACATTGGCAAACAATTCTGAAACCGGCCCGGTTAGTCTTATGTAGCGTTGCCTGAAGCACCCAGGACTTGATCCTTCTTCAGCAATGGATTTCTACTAAATGGAGCAAAGTTCAGAGGGGCAGGTGGTAGGAAAGGTGAACATTTATAGGGTTCTGTTATAGCTATGCCTTGGAATAAATTACAGGGTCACTTTAATGCATAGCAAGATGTTCTACATGCTAAGTCACATAACCAATTCTAAACAGTTAACAAAAATACATTTTGCAGAGGGTTTTGGTATGTTCAACACCTTAAAGTGAACCAGTGCTGGGTGTAAAGTATGAAGGACAGTTCCTGTATACCTTTATCTGGCTGAGTTCCCTGGCAGCCCCCAATCTCAGGCACTCAATATGCCAATATCAGTTTTATCTCTAAAGTTGGTGCCCTGGCACACCTTCCATACACTGTGAAGGGAATTTATCAAAACTGGAGCAGCTGTGCATGGCAACCAATCAGCTTCTCTCTTTCAATTTAAAATCTTAACTGGACAGACTGAAGAGAGAAGCTGATTGGTTGCCATGCACAGTGGCTCCAGATTTTGTCTGCTCCAGTTTTGATCAATTCCCCCTTTGTGTGCCTTAGAGAGGTTCCGTGAACGGCTTTGAGGGAGAAGTACTCAGACTTTAAGATGCGATTTCAACACTTAGCTCTTTGGGTTTGGAAGCATTGGGTGTATTCTGGAAAATAAGGTAAGCTCAGGCCTCTCCAAGTGTACCTAAACCCTATATATTGCACCTTACCAGTTCCTAGATATGGTGACTGCATTCATATTGGTTTTTTTCTCACGTAGTGATCCTCCCAAGAACACACTTCCTATCCTAAGGTGACACTATTCACCCACTGTAATGAGGGAAGAACAGTTTTGTAAACCTAGATGGTATGTTAGGCTACAGAACCCCCTCCTAGTCTCCACAACAAAGGGGAGGTGTTCTGTATTTCACAGAAGTGAGCTAGGCAGGGCTGAGAACGCGTGAAATAAGACCACATGGTCCACAGAACAATAGATTTCTGGAAAGATCAACAGGTATTTGTTTTTCCACTTACTAAACAGATTTCATAAAACACTTTCAATGGTATATTTAACAGATCAAAAGGAATCATGAAAGAGAAGTTCCTTGTTGGGGTTCACAGACACTAACTGCTCAATTACCTTTTTATCCCCAACACAGGTTAGATTTCACAAGCAGAAATAAAACTACATGAGGATTCTGTCAGCTTTAAAAATGTGATGCACATAGTAAAACGAAATGTCAGGTAGAAGATATATACAGATTCAACAGTAAGATGAAAGGTAGCACATTTCCTACATCAAGATACAGAACCGGTTTGGGAAGTGAGTGTGTCTGTTTAGGGCCAACACCCTAAAGGACAACTTTAATACTTCTTATAAAAGAATCCTATAAAAGAGGGCCAGGTCCTTTAGAGTGGACCGGTCTCTTTCAGTGGGTGTAATGCTGTAGCGGAGAGGTTGGGGGAAGTAGATAAAACACTTCTCCCCAGCTATAAAAACTGTATTATGGAGATCAAAGCTTTTGTTGACGCTGTTTGCGTGCAATCAGGACATTGTGCGGCGGAGGAGTTCCATGCCACGGGCACTGGTGTCCCAATAGGAAGAAAGAGGGAGGCGCATATAGAGGACAATGTCATTGATATAGCCATGTTTTCTCTCTTCCCATCAGTCTATCAGAACAAAATCCAACCTACCCTTCCAAGCACAGACAGCCTCAACCTTGGCATCAGATGTCTGTGCATTACACTTGGATAATACACTAAAAACACACAGCAATAAAGTAAACCTGTCAGAGAAATATGGAGGCTTGCATTGATGACATCCATCTGAAAAGACTGTTCCTTTGCCTTAAAGTGTATGGAAGCCCAAACTTTTTGTTGTTGTTGTTGTGGGATAGAGTAGATAAGGGTTATAACCTCCTCCAATGGGGACATCTGTTCCGGTGACAATTGTATAAGAGAGGAATCACACTTCACTTAATGCCATATCTTCCGGGCAGGAAGTGAAGGGACATGTCCCCAATGGATGCCATATCTTCCGGGCAGGAAGTGAAGGGACATGCCCCCAATGGATGCCATATCTTCAGGGCAGGAAGTGAAGGGACATGTCCCCAATGAATGCCATATCCTCCGGGCAGGAAGTGAAGGGACATGTCCCCAATGGATGCCATATCTTCCGGACAGGAAGTGAAGGGACATGTCCCCAACGGATGCCATATCTTCCAGGCAGGAAGTGAAGGGGCATGTCCCCAATGGATGCCATATCTTCAGGGCAGGAAGTGAAGGGACACGTCCCCAATGGATGCCATACCTTCCGGACAGGAAGTGAAGGGACATGTCCCCAATGGATGCCATATCTTCCGGGCAGGAAGTGAATGGACATGTCCCCAATGGATGCCATATCTTCCGGGCAGGAAGTGAATGGACATGTCCCCAATGGATGCCATATCTTCCGGGCAGGAAGTGAAGAGACATCTCCCCAATGGATGACAGAGTACAAAATAAACCCTTCTATGCTCTGTCCAAAACAAACAAAAAAGGTTTTGGCTTTACCTGCACTTTAAATAAATAAGTTGCTGACCTGGAACATGCATGCAGTCAGTGCAAAAATAACTCCGGAAGTATTGAAACCACAGGAACGGTCTGACAATCAGACACATGGCATTTTCTGAATGACTGCTTAGTAATGGCTGCCTCCATATTTTTCTGAGCACAGGTTTGCTGTAAAGTGAGAAGTCCACTCTGACAAGAGGCAAAGCATACACTGAAAAGGCCAAGGAACGAGAGTAGAAGAATGATACAAAATAGGAACAAACAGACTGCTAGTTGCGATTGTCTCTATGAAGAAGATAATGACGAATGGAATAAAGGTGTCACCACTAAGCCGCTGCTTAAATCAAGACCCCGGCCTTCCTTTTCCTGTAAAAAAACAGAACACAAGATGTTAAATGGGTTCATTCCATTCTACGGTCTACCAATATACTGTCTCCTATTCTAATGTTCAGCCTTTTCTATCCAGGGGATTGTGTTACACAACAAGACTAAATGGCTTAACTGCCCTTAAGTAAAACATGAAAGTTCAGAAGTATTACCAGGAAGATGCGAGTATGAGGAATGCTGGTTTGGGCAGGATTCGGGTCTTTACTCTTCTCAGCTCTATCTGGGCTTATGCTGGTTATGGGGAAAAGGTCTCCAAACCCAAGAACAAACACGTAATAAAGTGCAGCTTTCCAATCCTTAGATGTGGTGGCTGCAATCGTTTTCTTTTAGAAGGCATTTTCCCTTTATTTTAGCACACCTAGGCGACAGCGTTTTTGTGCGTTTCTGATGCATGTGTATGTGCGTTTTCACACGTTTTGATGTTTTATGCACATAAATCAAATTGCGCGTTTTTGTCAGCAGGTTGTAGCTGTTAATAAGCAAATGCGCATAAATATCGCGCAGCAAACGTGCGTTTTTAAGCGTTTCCTATTGAGTCTATGGGGCAAAAACGAGCTGTAATATGCCCCCCCAAAAGCTCCTGTACTTTTTGTCCAGTGACTGGTGTTTTGCTTATTGCGACAAAATGCTCAGGTGTGAACAGGGCCATAGAAATGAATGCGATTTTTTGAACGTTTTTTCGGGCAGACAAAGCGCTACAAAATGCTCAGTATGAATCAGGCCTAAGGGTGCTCGCTCCGGATTTGGATTGCAGACTGACATGCTGATGGCTGCATGTTCAACTTGCGTCCATTGACTATGAAGGAGCCTCCAACATGTCTTCAATAATGACATGGATGTATGGACAGAAAGTCAACTGGAAAATAATTTGTCAGAAGAAGAGCCATGTGGATTTTAAAAACAACACCTAGAGGGTTATTTCACAAAAGGGTGAATAGTTTGGAGAAGGCCGGAGAAGTAAACGATCTAGGACAACATAGCTGAACTGGAAAGTGAGCTGAAGTGGAGAATTTTTCCCAATCAGCTATGTTGTCCTAGATTGTTCACTTCTCCTGCCTTCTCCACACTCTTCACCCTTTTGTGAATAGACCTGCAAGTGTAAACTTAATTCGGAACAGGTTGCTACATGAACAGCAATAAAAGGAGAACTATGAGGTGAGTGCTTTTCACTCACCTCATAGTTCTAGTCGACCTGTGACAATGAGACTGTCACAGGTCGGCTCAGTAGATCGGGAAGTGAGCGAACACATACCGGCGTTTGCTCACCTCTCGATCCTGTCACGGCTCTCTGCCGTGACAGGGGGTGGATTCCCCCCTCCCCGCTCCGATCCGCCATTGCTCACTGGCGGAACGGACGGGGGAGGGTACAGCTGGCTCTGCCTCTAGATAGGCAGAGCCAGCTGTCAGTCACGCAGCTGGGCGGATCCCGGCATAATTGTCGGGATCCGCTTCAGCTGCGGCGTCTCAGTATACCGCGAGCTACAGCTTGCGGTATACTGAGCCTATGGGGAAAAGCCTTAACCCCATAGTTCTCCTTTAAACCCTCGGCAAGACATTTTGCCTCAGGTTATTTATACTGCAAATTATATATATTTTTACATTTTTGGTTAGTGTAGGGAATGGTTATATCTACCCCTTTATTTGTCCTGGTGACCATTGTCCTTGAGAAAGTGAAGGGAAATGAAAAATGAAATGCCCCCAGAACAAGAGACATGGAAAAAAATTATCCAAAAAAGGACACCCGCTCTAGGGGCAACTGTCAGAGGGGAGTTCTGCTCACTTCGTACCCATTCTGAACAATTCCAGATGTTTACTGGAGTGTTAATCTGGAGATCAACAGAGCAGTACATGGTTCACCTGGGGGGAATCTGGACTCTGATTTTGAAAATAATTATTTTCATACCCCAGTGCCAGTCCAGGTACTTCTGCAGTTACATAATATATATAAGCCCTGAGGAATAAATATATCTATCTCTATATCGAACAATAAAGAAAAACAAACAAAAAAGTTGGACTCATCACTATTAGTGTGACGCCCTTACTGTTTCATGCTCGGACTTCCCTCAGGACTCTCTTTTTTGGGGGTGCTTTGGTATGAGTAAGCAGTCTCACCGAAGCAATTCAGCTTACTTCAAGGAGAACTATGAGGTGAGTGATTTTCACTCCGCCTCCTAGTTTGAGCCGACATGAGACAATGAAACTGTCACACGTCGGCTCAATAGATCGGGAAGGGAGCGAACACATACCGTCGCTCGCTCACGTCTCGATCATGTTCCTGCCGAGAGCCGTGACTGTCAGCCATGGCTCCCTGCAGGGTTTTCCCCCCTCCCAGCTCCGATCCTTCAGCGCTGACTTGCGGAACGGACGGGGGAGGGGGCGGGCACAGCTGGCTCTGCCTCTAGATAGGCAGAGCCAGCTGTCACTCACGCAGCTGGGTGGATCGCGACAGTAATGTCAGGATCTGTCCCGGCTGCGGCGGTCTCAGTATACCACGAGCCGTAGCTCGCGGTATACTGAGCTTAGGGTGACGGGAGGAAGCTAGTATATAGGAAAAACACTTACTCCATAGTTCTCCTTTAATGAGATGGTAATTCACAACACTGGGCATTAATATTAGGAGATCTAACTCCTCTTATGCATGTATTATAACCGAAACCAATTCAAAAAGGTTTGGCTATACAAACAATAACAGAATAGTGGACTGTAGAATCTTTTTACTCTTGGGAAAACTCTGGTCACATATTAAAGCTTAATGTTAATGAAAATATTTGATTCTTATCTCATCATAGACAAGTTTACAGACTAAAAGTCATGGCGTATATCAATCCATGTTATATAGACACAATGGTGCTACTTTATTCAAAGTAAGTGTCTGTATTGCCCATGCCAGACAGAACCCAATTTTTATTGGGCAGGCAAGAAACTGAAATATCCGAGTGGCTCCTGCACACGCCCCTATTCTCTCTTGTTCTAGTTCTTATAACACAGCACATTCATTTTCATACTTACAGCTTTGTAATCAAGAAACATTTCTTTGAATGCCAGAAAGTCGGTGAAAGTGAGTAATATATCAAATATGTCTCCAGCCATTTCCTGTTGATGAGATCTGCAATAGAAATCACAGTATTTAGCATCACATTATAAAACAGCATTTGATGTCACTTCTGGAAGATACAGTACGGGCATGAACTAAAGGCAATAGTAATCCACTGAAGAGGTTGTCAGTATTATAACACTTATAGCCCAAACCCCAACAACTGCCTTTGGGATTACAGCAGAAGTAATTCACAGCTAAAACGCCTAAAGGGCTAAAACTTGGTAAACCACATCCCTTAGCTAGTGTCTCATGCAGAATACTGTATATCGGTCTAGAATGGCTGTGATTTGGTTCCGTTGTTGTCCGGGCTCTGGTTATATTCAAGTCAGGCTGGACTTTGTACACGCTTATAGCGGACCTTTACCCAAATCTTTCAAATAACAACAAACACACCTTTAGAAATGTTTAGTAATGACAACCTACAAACATTATACTTCTAGATAATTGCCGGCTCTGTATTCTTTGCATACCTTATTTCTCTTTTCTTCCCAAGTCTTCTGACAGTGGCCATGTTTACTAAGGGCAGGTTACTAGCTCTCCTACTACTTCCTGGATTTCTGGCACATGTGACTAGGACATGTGACCATGCCTATCATCTCAGGGGAGGAAAATGCCTTTTCCTGAGATCTCCTGAGATTCCAGATGAGATTTCCCAGCAATGCTCTGCAGATGACAAGGCAATCCCAGTGTGCATTGTGTTGGCAAACTGAATTCATTTTGCCCTTTCAAAGCAGGAAGTGAATGCTCTGCAAGTGTAAGTATTTCAGAATCACAGCATGTCTATGTTATTATTATTCATCATACAGAGAGGGATGCATTGATAGAATTGGACTTTTGAGTGTAAAGATCCGCTTTAACTTTGCCTCTGGTCTTTGTAGTTAAATTATTTTCAGTTTTCATTTCTAAGTTCCCAACACATTTTTAGCACATCTGTGGAAGCCTATTCTGAGGAAGATCACAATAAAAATAAAAACAAAGAAACCGCAGAGGCTGTCGCTGCTAAATTTCTCCCTTTGAAAATGCTAGCCGCTTCCTGGTTGTTGCGTTAAGAAAATAACTAACATTCCAAGTCAATGACCCAGAACAAAATGTGCAGACTTTACTGCATTTAATCTTGTCTGAAAGCACAGAAGCCAGAGACAGTCTGGCAGCTAGACATTTCCAAAGCAGGTCACCAATGGCAGCCTACATATTTCTTCAATCACAGGTTTACCATTGAAGTGACCCCCATCAGCACCCAGACGGTATTAAAAGGCTCCTGCACCACAACACAAGCACCCAAATGTTGCCTGCACACAGTTTATTAGATGCATTCTTCTTCAGCCAGTGAAAAGTTCTGGCACTACCTGGCAATGTTGTGTTCTAGGTTCTATCCCTCCCACCACATATTTGTTCTTACTGATTAGTAATGCTCCCCATTATAGTGATGGCCCATAAGAACAGGAGGCAGAGACTCAATTCAACACTACCAGAAAATTTCAAAACTTGCTGGTTACAGCAACCTGGGATTTAGGTCACCCATACTGATCGGTGTTTGTTTGAAACAGAAGTCCCGGTAAGTGAGGTGAAAGATATATCTGCTGCCAAGGGACAGTAAAGTGCAAGTCAGCTACACTCCCTGATCTTCATATTATTCAGTACAGCAAATCAAAAGGTGTAAACTTGAAGGCAATATACGTTATTATTAAAAAGTTATCTAAAGCCATTGTTTTTATTTATTTTATTTTTTTAAATCATCAGTGATGTTTGCATCCTGCTGGAAAGATTTCTCCTTTCAATTTGTTCCGGTGACCATTGTCGTCAGGGGGACAGGAACTAATGGGAAATCGTACATTTTAGAGTTGCCACCAGAACCTGAATAGAGGCAAAAACTTGCAGTGGGGACACCTCTAGTGGTGATTGCCTCAGAGGGGATTTCTCCTCACTTGCCAGAGATTTCCTCTTACGTCCTGTGAGTGTGTATGTATGAGATATATAGATATAGATATATATCTATATTATTTAGGGCTGGTAATGATTAAAATTTTTGTGTTCGATCAATCGAAATTTTTTTACATCGATTAATTTCGATTTATAAGCCATTATTATACAGCCAAGGGAACTGTATAACTGGAAGACAAAAAGAAAGAGAAGGGCGCCCACCCTAGTGCAGATGGTTCTTTATTGTTTAAAAATAGCAAAATAGAGTGCAAAGGTATTCACAATGGTAGATCGATTAGAAGCATAAATGAGTAGTTCAAGGATACATCAGTTTACAAACTTCAATCAGCCTGTGTGCCAATAAGGACAGCACACAGGCTGATTGAAGTTTGTAAACTGGGGCTGGGTTCTCTCTTTGAAGGAGAACCCAGCCCCAGCAGAAGAAGTAGACTTGCAGATAAAGCCTTTTTGGAGACTCTTAGTGAGGTATTCAGACATGGCCTTGGTCTCTGGGAGAGAAAGCCATCCTCTAGACACATTGATGGTGCAGTCATTGGGATATGTGGTGGCAAATTATCCAATTTGCACTTGGAGATGATGCCTAGATTATCCACATCGTAAGCATTAATGAAGGTAACCTCAGAGATAGCCAGAGGAAGAGGCCTGACTGGTGAGGCATGTGGAATAACAGGTGGGGCCTCAGGCTACGTCGGCTAATGAAGGGAAGGGGGAGGAGTCCGGTGACGTCACGGACATCGACATCACCGGACTCCTCCCCCCTTCCCTTCGTTAGCCGTCACGGACATAGACGTCACCGGACTCCTCCCCCCTTCCCTTCGTTAGCCGACAGAGCCACTTAGGGAAGGGGGGAAGGAGTCCGGTGACGTCGATGTCCGTGACGTCACCGGATCTCCGAGGAACTCCCGGAAGCCGGCGGAGGGGTGAGTACCGATCAAAATAATTTTGATCGATCAAAAAAAATTAACGATTAATCATTAATTTCCGCAGCCCTAATATTATTTAATGCTTCCCTACTACATCAAAAAAATAAAATTAAACATTTTGTATTTACATATACTTTAAGTGCCTTAGTCTGGAGCACTCCTTTACATTTTGAAATATTAAAAACAACACTGATTAACCGCAGGTATGGTACACACGATGTTATTCATTAGGGATGCACCGATACTAGTATCGGTACTGGTGGCAATTTTTTTGGGGGCGAGTACTCGTAATCGCCCAATTGCTCCGATGCCTAGCCCGATACTTTTGGTTTCAGGAAGCCGGGCAGCACGTCACAAACACGCTGCCCGGCTTCCTGATTGGACGGGAATCCGGCTCCATTCTCCCTCGTCATGAGGCAGCTTCCGACCAATCAGGATGCTGAGCGCCACGTCATTACACAGCGCCCGGCTTCCTGATTGGTCAGAAAGCCGGCTCCATGCTTTCTCGTCACCTAGTGACAAGAAGTATGGGGACGGCTCCCCTGCTAAATCGGGAAGCCGGGTGGCGAGTCTTTACACGCTGCCCAGTTTCCCGGCTAATCAGGAAGCAAGGTGGCAAGTCATTACACGCCGCCTGGCTTCCTGAATGGGACTTCCCGTACTCTGTATTGGCGAGTACCGAAAAAGAAAATATCAGTGCTCGTACTCGATACCGAAATACCAATATCGGTGCATCCCTAATATTAATGGGCTAGAACAAACTGGCATATTATTTGAACTTGTTTGCAAAGATTGTTGGGTTCAGTGCATCCTATTTAACACACATTCTTTAATAAAACCACTGGAGTACTTACTGTAAGGAAGAGATGAATGCACTCATATTGAAAGTTGGAATCCGCTTCAGTAATTGCTCTTCAATAAATGTCTCCAATAAGCAAATCTAAAAATTCACACAAAGATATATTAAGAATCACAGATTCATATGAACCTGAACCAAGACTCACAAACAAAGCAACTTTCTTCCTCTTCAGATGATCAAAGCTGGGTGTTTAGCTCTCTAGAGACTGTGATGATTGTACTAGCAAGGGAAGGAGTTATGGGAAATGTCTTAGCTATTTAAATGATTCAACTTTTAAATCTGAATAAGAAATGATCCCATCGCACTCCTTACCGGAATCCCATTCACAATGCTTTAGCGGGTGCTGAAGTAGCAGTGGATGGCGCCGCATAGATTTTCACTATATCTTCCCGCAATTTATTAAGCTCAGATAAACGTGGTATCACATATAGATGCAACATTTCAGAACCGTATATGGTTCGGTTCATCAGGCAAAGGAAAGTGTGACAACTGGTTGCCAAACTTTCCCTTGCCTGATGAAGGGACCATATGCGGTTCCAAAACATAGCATCTATACGTGATACCATGTTTATCGGAGCTTAATAAAATTTCGGGAAGATAAAGTGGACCCTGGTGTGCTGGTGGCTTATCCTTCAACTTTTAAACCGGGTCTTGGAGACTGGCTCACTTTGCCCACCCCTGCTCCCCATCAAAGCCCTATGCACTTACATGATCATTTAGTCTGAAAGACTGTGGCCTACACCAGGATGTAGTTGGCATTTTCTCTTCTTTGGGAGCCAGGCCAAGTGGTAATGCACAAGCAGAAAATATGTCCACAGGAGTGGAATTGAGAACCCATGTCCTTTCAGACTATGGAACATGACTACAGACTTTCAATGAATGTCTGATCTGAGATCTATGTGGGGCATATGGCTGCTTATGGGGAGTGCAAAGCATTCTGTGAATGGAGGAGGGGAGATTTAGTCATATGCCCACTTCTCTCCATTCACAGATCATCATGCAATCTGTGAAGAAAAGCAAGGCTATTTGTTCATGGGCAAGAGGGGACAGGGAATGTGACTGGAGACCTTCGCTGCCACATCCCTGCAGGCCAGATTTGTGCATGGTGTATTAAAGTATCCCACAATCAAGGTATGATTTTTATAGTAAGCAGCGGTCATACACCTCCTACCATTCTTTTTATTAAAAGTTAACTTATTAAACTTGTGCCATTTCTAAAATCCATCTTTCTTTCCAGAGTTCAGCTTTAAGAGATACTATAGTCATCCATTAAAGAGTCCAAAAAATTTAAAATGCACTGGATGTGAAGCTAACCAACGCAGTCAATGGAAAATGAATCTCTTGAATTATGTGACTTGAATAAATTAAAAGTTGACTGACTGCCATGGACTGCTCTACACAGATATGGAACAATGTACTAATTCATTAAAAGAGAACCATGGGGTAAGTTTTTTTCCCCATAGTTTTCTTAGTGTTTCAGCTATAGGGTCATGGGAGGACATATACTAGCGTCCTCCCGTGACCCAAAGCTCAGTATATCGCGAGCTACAGCCGACACAGCCGGGACGGATCCAGACATTACTGTCGAGATCCACCCAGCTGCATCTAGAGCCAGCTGTACCTGCCCCCTCCCTCATCCGTTCCTCCAGTCAGCGCTGGAGGATCGGAGCGGGGGGGGGAATCCCTGCAGGGAGCGGTGAATGTCAGTCCCCGCTCCCTGCAGGGAGATGATCGGAAATTGATCGAGCGACGGTATGTGTTCGCTCACTTCCCGATCTATTGAGCCAACCTGTGACAACTTCTTTGTCACAGGTCGGCTCGAACTATGAGGATGAGTGATTTTCACTCACCTCATAGTTCTCGCCTTAAAAGGAAACAGGCCTCAGCTGTGCAGTGCCTGGCAATCTGAAGTGATATGTAAATACATAGCAGAAGCACCAAGAGATGATCAACTTACATATTCGTTAAAGATTGGGGTGTATGTTAGCTTATTTTCTTCTGTGTCTTCAAACTCTTGATAATACTTCTCCATAAAATTTCGCTGTAGCACCTGAAACTCGTCATCTGATAAGAAACAACAAATGTGAGAAGTTTAAAAATCATCCCTGGGAAGTAACATCAGCCAGTGAGAAGCCAATACTACCCACAAGACTCTGGGACTATGGCAACATTTATTGCACCAACAATCATTAAGCTTTTCCCAGTGCTTCTAGGCAGGGGTCATGATTCTGTTCAGTGTCCCAAGACTTGTCCCATGGGGCTGAGCCATGCAATGTCTTCTTCTCTGAGAATTACAGAGGGTGGCGCTCACAACTGGGAACACTTGGCCTGTATTTTACAGATTTAGAGCCATTCAGAAAATAACGAAAACTAGCAACTATTAAAGCGACTGTCTAGACATAGGGATACACAGCTGGAATATAGACATCTGTGGATTTACTTTCCAGAGTATTTGTAACTCTGTACAGCCAGATTTGCGATTAACACATCTCTGCCACACTGCAAAGCCAGGCAAGTGAAAAAGGTATTTCCTGGTACAGTAACTCATCGGTTTCAGGTTCGCAGTCTCCTATCTCCCCTCTCTACCTCCAGCCTAGATCACCTGGCCGCATGTTAAAACTTTTTTGTCTAGGCCAATGCACAAACTCAGAAATTCATAGAAATGAACAGGATTGTAAAGTATAAGCTCAATGTGAAGTTGATAGGAATTGATGGGATTGTAGAACATATTTGCAAGCATCCAGGAGATTTAGTCAGCGATATCTCACTGGATGGAATACAGTTAGTAAGGATTGGGATGGGTAGGCTGAGGGCAGGGGGTTCTTTAATAGAAGTAACTGCACAGTTTCCTCGTTTCAAGACAAAAAAGGAACAAAGACAGATGTTGAGTATAAAACACTGACATTTTCACTTTTTGTCTCCAAATTGTTTACTACAAATATGTCCCTTAGTATAACATTCAGGGTAAAGTGACAGGTTCTCTTGAAAGCCATTTCCCCACACAAATACTCTCCTCCATCGCATTCTTTCACTATTGAAGCCCTCAGGATACACTCTGTGGTTTCAGATATGGAGAAGCATCTGACTTTCTCCCAGGATGTAGAGCTCAGACCTGAGCAGCCAATTTTCAGGCCGAAACATTTTCACATGGTGGATGGGTGAACATCATTACCTCATGCAAGGTTTGACACAGAGCTTTCACAGGGTATGGACTCCTGGCTGTGGATAAGGAACAGAGCGGTAGGGAAGGTGAGTATAAACGTGTGGGGAGTTGTCCTTTCTAGAGACGCCAATACTGTGCTCTGAATGGACAAAATCTCTTCATTTCTACATGCGTTCCCTTGATCTCTTTTTGGGGGAAAAAAAATAAATACTTGCCCATTATGATATCTTCCAAATGCCCCACCACCCGATCAAATTCAGCATCCTTGGGGGATGACCTGCACAGAAAAATGGATGAATAAGATTAGTGTTTCAGCTATAGGGGATCATTTACATCTGAACTCTGTAACTGCTTTTCAAAGAGTGGTGTGAGTGCAGTGACAAGTTGTCCTTAGAGGATACCTACCACTGCAATCTATACACAGTGCACCCAATCTGTTGCATACAGGAGGCTGTATAAGGAGGGGGGAAGAGTGTACCCCAACAGTCCATCACACAGAGCTCTCTTGCACACTTAGGACACATTGCAGATGTTGCACGTATGTAATTGAAGTGTATAACTAGGGATGCACCGATACCGGTACTTTGGTACCGAGTACGAGTACTAGAGCTGCATTGCTCCCCGGCTTCCTGATTGGCCGGGAAGTCGGCTCCATGCTCTCTCATCACAAGTGACGAGAGCATGGAGCCGCTTCCCAGCCAATCAGGAAACCGGGCAGCGTGTAATGACACGCTGCCCGGCTTCCTGATACAGGAAGTACTCGTGCTAGACATCAAACCTGATGACTATACAGATAACAAACTTGTATCATACTGTCCGGTCAGGCAATCCCCACCTCTGGTACAAATGGGGCCCCGTCATCCCACACACAAGTGCCTCTGCACACAGGTTCCTCCTCAAAGGACAAGCCATACTTTTGGTACAAAATTTCATGTGGTAGGATGTGTGTGAAAAAGTCTTAAGGCCGTGACACACTGCACGCGAAGCCGTGCAGAGCGAAGCAAAGCTATCAGGCACGGAGCTTTGCGTGCAGTGTGTGAGCTGAGTGCAGTCAGATGATTGACAGCACCTTCAGCCAATCGGCTCGTCCGTAACAACCTGCCAGCTGTCGCATCGCGACACGCTGGTTTATACGCGCGACCCGATTGGTTGAAATTGTTCATCTCGGCACGCTCAGCTTCGCGAGCTCTCGCAAGCTGAGGTGCCGAGCAGAAAATTACATGACACACTGCTCGCAAAGGCAGCGCGCCCCTGGTTCGCGTGCAGTGTGTCACGGCCTTAAGTGTGCCACAGACCAAATATATTTATGAAATGACTGAATTAATTTCTCAGAAGACAAAACAAAGTAGTAAAACGTGTTGGCTTATCACAGTTCCTTACACTGACAGAGAGAAATTCTCTTCCTCGAGGTCATCCATGTTAGATTTATTCAAACTGTCAATCCTGTAAAGAGGAAAGTTGAGCAAATTAATAAATGCTTGTTACAGGTTGCCATGTTTATTATGCAAAATGTGTGTACTGTCTTGCCGAGTCAGAGCCGTAGCTCTCCAATTATCAGGTAGCATGATCATTGTGATTGCAGAGCTAGATGTGTGACTCAGCAGGGGAGGTATCAGATCTCTGCAGAGACCCCTTACAGAAAGCAAGGGCACTCTCTGTAGCATGCTGGCAGGGGACAGGCAGGGGACAGGCTTTTTAATGAAAACAATCTGTAACTGTGACTTTCCACCTAGTGGGAGCTGCCTCAAAGGCATTACATCTGTTTCCAGGTCATGCGATCACTGTGATTGGCTATCACAGTAACTACATGGTTGGGATATGTAAACCAATTGTAAACAATGACCGGAAGCTGCTGTGAGCGTGCTGCTTACATCTGACAAAATACAAAAAAGGTCACAAGCACTCCAGCATGTAGAAAAGTCAATGTTTATTGACTTCGCATGCGTTGCATCATCAGAGCGACGGTTCGGAAACAGCAAAGTCCCTTCCTCAGGCAAAACAGACGTCTGTTTCACGTGAGGAAGAGACTTTGCTGTTTCCCAACCGTCGCTCTGATGATGACACCAATGAAGTCAATAAACATTGACTTTTCTACATGCTGGAGTGCTTGTGACCTTTTTTGTATTTTGTGGACTTATTTTGCGGAGGCATCCGCGGTCATTTCAGCACCCACCCTACAATTAGAGTTTTCTATCCGGTCAGGAGTACGATGGGTGTGTATGTTTTTTGAACTGTGCTTACATCTGACTGCCCATAGACTAACATTAAAAGAGAACTATGAGGCGAGCGAAAATCACTCAGCCTCATAGTTCTAGGCGACCTGTGACAATGAAACTGTCACAGGTCGGCTCCATAGATCGTCGCTCGCTCACTTCTCGATCTATCCCTGCAGAGAGCCTTGACTAGGGCTGCAGCTAACGATTATTTTCATAATAAATTAGTTGGCCGATTATTAAGTTCGTTTAATCGGTTAATCGGATAAAAAAAAAAAAAAAAAAGGCTCAAGTGATGGACTACTAGTTTCTATTGAGATTGTAGTCCATCACGGGAGCAAGCTTGGCACGGTGGAAGTAAAAAAAAAAGTGTGGTGTGCAATATAGTACATTATACAGCGGCGCAATGCAGAATACCAGCAGCTATAGAGGAATGCAGCAATAGGGGGGATGGAGCCCCGTACAGGCTAAGCAATCGATAGCCGACGAATCGACGATCGAAAACGTTGCCAACGTTTTCAATCGTCGATTTTAATCGACTTAATCGATTAACTGTTGCAGCTCTAGCCTTGACTGTCACTCACAGCTCCCTGCAGGGATCCCCCCACCCCCACCCGATCCTCCAGCGCTGACTGGCGGAACGGACGGGAGGGGGCGGGTATAGCTGGCTCTGCCTCTAGATAGGCAGAGCCAGCTGGGTGGATCCAGACTGTAGCTCGCAGTATACTGAGCTTTGGGTGATGGGATGACGCTAGTTTGTGTCCTCCTGTTACCCTTAGGAGAACTATGTGGAAAAGCCCTGACCCCATAGTTCGCCTTTAAGCTTCCGATCAGGTCTGCCTCAAAAACAAACAGGTGGACCTCATCAGAATGCCAATGGAAAGGGGTCGGACAGAAAGACAATCTCATCAGTCTGCTGCTTCTGCTTTCACGGTTCAATCACAGGATGTGGAGGGCTGTGCTGTATGGCAGAGCTATGTAAATCTCAGGACTGGTTGGACACAAATACAAATCCTTCGGCAGCTAGAACAGCTCCCTCATATGTATTGTATGTGTGCAGTTAGGCTTTAAGTATGACCTACATTCAGCCAACACTAGAATATGGACTGGTGAGGGAAGTGTGGATGTGAGGAGAAACTGCCAGCTATGAAAGGTAAAGGGGAGCAATGGCTGCTGTACCATCCCATCATTCACACTGCTGCGCCCTGACTACCCAGAGTTTCACCACACACCAACATACACAAAGCTATCCTACTCACCCGTCCAGCGCCGACCTAGTCGCCAGCTGAAGTTTTGCTTCCGGAATGTAGTAAGACACCCAAGCAATCAAAGCACCGAATGGTTCAACGTGAGATAAAACAACCAATCAGAGAAAGGGTGCTGCCGTTAGGAGTTGCTATGGCAATGGAAAGGCATCACTCAGCACGTCATGTGACCTGGAAGGAGACCCGCGCGGCCAGGGAGGGGGTGGAGTCACTGGGTCGTGTCATGTGACCTGGCATGAACCCCTCGCTTCTAAGAAGGGGATGGAGTCACTGCACTGTGTCATCAGATACACGTGGCTCTTACCCACCTCCTACTTAAAATGTGAGTCGCCTGGCTGCCATGGTGACGCTCTGACTGCTGGCAAAGAGGTTTCTCGTATGACACGTTTGCGATAAGATGTGGCGTGAGAGGTGAAATCATAGTGCAGACACCTTGTGAATAAAAGAAGAGAAAATAAAGCATTGAAAGCCTCACAACACCTCATACAGAAGACTAACCTTTCTTGTTATGGATATCTGTCTATCCATGTCTCTCTTTCTTCCCCCCTCCCTCTTATCCCCTTCACGCTCCTGCACTCTTGCACTCTTCCTCTCCTGCTCCCTCTATATATATATATCTCTCTCTCTCTCTCTCTCTCCTCCTTTAGCTCCTTCTCCCCCCTCCCTCATTATCTCTTCTACTATATTTCCCTCCTCTCCCTATCCCCCCCACCTCCCCTTTCCTCTCTGTATCCCCCTCTTAATTATGGAAAAACATTGACATTGTGGTGGGGTAGAGCATTCAGTGGACATACATTTTATATATAAAGTGAAACTTTACACAAAGAACGTCAAAGCCTCATCCAGTCACTCCACTCTGCCACCAGAACAAGTCCAGGATAGTTTCAAAGAACATCTATAACTCTCATCAGCCACTTTAAAGCCAATTTCACCATTTAAAACCACCTTAAAGGGAAACTGACCACAACTTTTTTAGTTTGGGATTGATTGGAGGGGGATTAGAACCCATTCCAGGCTTTTATTGCTATCTGAGTCCCCGTTAGGGAGATTCACCCTCTTTTTTCCCCCCTGGTGACCATTATTACCTAAAGTGAAAGAAAATCCCAATTTTGGGTTGTCACCAGAACAGGGATGTGACGGATTGAACCGTCACTGGGCCTGCTGGAGGAGCTTGAGGGCTAGCCTCCTTCCTACTGACTACGGACCTAGGGCTGCAGAGATTTATTACCCCAGAGAACTTTGTTTGCTGTGTGTGTTTTCCTGTTTAATGTTTTATCTAGAGAGAGAGCTTTTCACTATTTGACTTGATTTGAACCATCCGGGCTTCCATCTTGTTTGAATACCATCTCTGCTAAACGTAATTTTGTGAAGGCAGAAGGCTGTCTGTAGTCTCTATTGTTTGGGATGATGGGATCAAGCTCTTATCTAAGTAAGTAGGTAGATGGGGAAGCATTCTGCACACCTTGCAGCAATCCAGACCTATGTAGAAAATGGTGCTCGCAGGGACAACCACGGATGGCGCCGTGCAGACACAGAGTAGAGACACAAATCACCAGCACTCAATGATATCATCAACCATGTCCATTTAATTGGACAAAACGTCACAGTAACAGCAAGCCAACGTTTCGGAACCACACAGGGTCCCTTCCTCAGGGCAGAAAAACGTGACAAGCTTTTCTGCCCTGAGGAAGGGACCCTGTGTGGTTCCGAAACGTTGGCTCGCTATTACTGTGACGTTTTGTCCAATTAAATGGACATGTTTGATGATATCATTGAGTGCTGGTGATTTGTGTCTCTACTCCTTATCTAATTAAGGACATTCATTAGGTTCACTATTTGACTTAAGGAATTCCAATGCGGCACCCGGCTGTCTAGGGCAGGGGGATTGTTCAATGTAACACACTGAACTCTTATCTGATTCTGTGAGGTATAAGCTCTGTGTGCTTTCTTCAATAAACCAGTTCATGTTTCTACTCCAAAGTCAGTGTTGTCTGATTCTTGAGGTAAGCCCATGCTATATTCACTTGCTTCTGGTTCCAGTACTCAGGGACAGCCTTAAGACGGAGATATGTATTTGAGGTATCCGGGAGTCCGTCACAAGGGATATATGGAAATTATTTAACTGGGGACATTAGTTTTGGTGACCCCGCTAACCACCAGGGATTTTCCTTACTTTGGAGGCATTTCCTCTCATTTCCTGTAGTGGCTATCCAACAGGGAGTAAAGGAAAATCTCCCCAAAGGATACAGATGGTAAAAAAGCTGACAGGGTTATAGCCCTCCCTTAC